CTAACTCAGGCTCAGCTGTTATAATATGTAGCACCTTATGGACAAGGACAAAACAAATCTCACTGAAGACTTAAGACCATTTTTCACCTTGAAAACTGAATGCAAAAATTTCCGTGAAGAAGAGCCCTTGTGATCAAAGCACTCAGATTTAGTATTGACCATATGAAGCCCACACTAGTGCTTCTGACTCATTGAAATGAAGATATCATATAAATCGGCTATTTAATTATTTTTAAATTCTGTTATTCTGATCTTAACACATTATTAATTCACGAAATTTATCCTCAACATTTTGATCAGCTCTTTTTAAGTAGACTATTGTATAGGTACAACAAATATAATAAAATACACATAGCCATTTTATATTTGTATCAGAGTATATTAAATTACTCATATTTGTATCAGAGTCCTCAAATATCCCACACTAGAAATATCTGTTTGTGGCCGGGCGCGATGACTCACGCCTATAATCCCCAGCACTTTGGGAGGCCGAGGCGGGTGGATCACAAGGTCAAGAGATCGAGACCATCCTGGCCAACATGGTGAAACCCTGTCTCTACTAAAAAATACAAAAATTAGCTAGGTGTGGTGGCATGCACCTGTAGTCCCAGCTACTCGGGAGGCTGAGGCAGGAGAATTGCTTGAACCCAGGAGGTGGAGATTGCAGTGAGCTGAGATTGCGCCATTGCACTCCAGCCTAGCGCGTGGCAACAGAGCAAGACTCTCTCTCAAAAAAAAGAAAAAAGAAATACCAGTTTGTAGAATTTCTGCACGGGATCACTTACCTCTTCTTTCTATAGCAATTTGGCTTCACACCTTTCCACCATAAATCCAACCGTTCAGTTATAATTTTTTCAAATATGTTTAAATATTAGATTGAAAGTCATGTACCCTGAAATCTTGTAAAACACTGTCACCAAAGAATATATCCACAGATTGAGTGGGATCCAATAAAGACCTGGAATATATAAAAATTATACAAAATTATACACAAGCAATTAAGTCTAAAATACATTTATTTACTGCTAAATTATAAGCAAGGTATTATGCTAGGTACTGTAAGGGTTGAAAATAAGCTGACTATTTTTTATATGTTTGTTGGCCTCATGTGTGTCTTCTTTTGTAAAGTGTCTGTTCATATCCTTCGCCCACTTTTGAATGGGCTTGTTTGTTTTTTTCTTGTAAATCTGTTTTAGTTCTTTGTAAATTCTGGATATCAGCCCTTTGTCAGATTGTGGAAGACAGCGAGGCGATTCCTCAAGGACCTAGAAATAGAAATTCTATTTGACCCAGCAATCCCATTACTGGGTATATATCCAAAGGATTATAAATCATTCTACTATAAGGACACATGCACACGAATGTTCATTGCAGCACTGTTTACAAAAGCAAAGACCTGGAACCAACCCAAATGCCCATCGATGATAGACTGGACAGGGAAAATGTGGCACATACACACCATGGAATATTATGCAGCCATCAAAAATGATGAGTTTGTGTCCTTTGTAGGGACATGGATGAACCTGGAAACCATCATTCTCAGCAAACTGACACAAGAACAGAAAATCAAACACCACATGTTCTCACTCATAGGCGGGTGTTGAACAATGAGAACACATGGACACAGGGAGGGTGGCATCACACACTGGGGTCTGTTGGGGGGAAATAGGAGAGGGACAGTGGGGTGTGGGGAGTTGGGGAGAGATAGCATGGAGAGAAATGCCAGATATAGGTGATGGGGAGAAGGCAGCAAATCACACTGCCATGTGTGTACCTATGCAACAATCTTGCATGTTCTTCACATGTACCCCAAAGCCTAAAATGCAATTAAAAAAAAAAAGAAGCTGACTAAACCATGATCTCTATTTTCAACGAGCATACAGTTCATTAGAGGAAGCAAACATATATATTCAAATACATTTATTACAATATATATTCATATTTTACACTAGAGGTAAAATGGAATTATATGGACCATATGGAAGAAAGAAGGATTTAATTTTACTGGGGATGTCACAGAAGCATTAATGGCAGAAAAAGTATTTGCATCGGGCCCTAAATCAATACAGGAAACTTCACAGATAAAAATGGATTAGGAGGACAGGGAAAGTACGTGTGGTGAAGGAGGTATTTCAGATAGAGGGGGCATAACGGTGAAAAAGCATACAATGTTTACAAGTAGTCCAGTGCAACTAGAGTGAGAAGTCAGATCCTGGAAGGCCAAATATATGACTGGGGAGTTTAAACATCATTCTGTATTAGAGGTCTTTGAGCAGTAGAATTTCAAAATCCTATCTTATATTTGAATGTCTATTGAGCAATCATGTGATAGATAGACTGGAAGAGACAGAAACCACTTAAGTGATGCTGTACTAAGGATCAAGTTTATTTAAGTAGATACATTCACTTAATTTGAACAGGTTGGTTAGGTGTGGTAAACAGCCTCTAAGACAGTACCTAATGATTCCTGCCTCCTGCTATTCATGTTCCTTGAGTTTGGGCTAGGCCTAGTGATAGGCTTCTAACAAAAGAAGGAGAAACTGATGGCATGTCACTTCTGGGGTTAGGTTATAAGAACAATGTGGTGGCTGGGCACGGTGGCTCATTCCTGTAATCCCAGCACTTTGGGAGGCTGAGGTGGGCAGATCACCTGAGGTTGGGAGTTCAAGACCAGCCTGACCGACATGGAGAAACCCCATCTCTACTAAAAATACAAAACAGCCAAGCATGGTGGTGCAAGCCTGTAATCCCAGCTACTCCGGAAGCTGAGGCAGGAGAATCGCTTCAACCTGGGAGGCGGAGGTTGCAGTGAGCCAAGGTGGCGCCATTACACTCCAGCCTGGGTAACAAGAGTAAAACTCCATCTAAAACAAACAAAAAAAGAATGTGGTTCCCTTCCATCTTTGTGCTCACTGTCTGCCTCATGGATCACAAACTTCCATGTTGTGAGGACACTTAAGCAGTTTATAGAGTGGGCCACATGTCCAGGAACGCATGCTGGCAGCCATGTGAATGAATTAGAAGGAGGTCTTGCCCTGGTTGAACCTTATTTGAAACCAAAGGCTTGGTCAGTGGCTTTTTTATAACCTCATAATAGACATTGTGCCAGAGACATTGCTTAAGCTACACCTAAATTCTGGACATATAGAAATTGTGAGGTAATAAATGTTTATTGTTGGTTTTTTTGTTTGTTTTTGAGATGGAGTCTCACTCTGTCACCCAGGCTGGAGTGCAGCGGCGTAATCCCTGCTCACTGCAACCTCCGCCTTACAGGTTCAAGCAATTCTCCTGCCTCAGCCTCCCGAGTAGCTGGGACTACAGGCACATGCCACCAGCCTGGCTATATTTTTGTATTTTTAGCAGAGACAGGGTTTCACCTTGTTAGCCAGGATGTTCTCAATCTCCTGACCTCAACGATCTGCCCACCTCGGCCTCCCAGAGTGCTGGGATTACAGGCGTGAGCCACCGATCCTGGCCCATGTTTATTGTTTTAAGCCACCAAATTTTGCCATAATTTGTTAGGCAGCAATACGTCATTAACAGAGATGAAATCCAGTATCTAGCCTGGTTTATCTTTGTACTAAATTATTGCATATTTTATTTCTATCAATTCTACACATAATATGGCTTAAAGATTACTGAATTATTAATAAAATCCAGAATTTTCTCCATATTGCTTAGTATAATCTTAACTATTATATTATATTGTAAAAGCTTTGTGATCCTTGCATCTACAGCTTTTAGAGAAATGAAAGATACAGGATTTATATGTAAGAGAGGTCTTAGAAACCTATTTTGAAATTAAACATTTTTAATAATTTCTGTTCATTCTTTTGAGGAAAAAAAAATACTTGTTTTTAAAGATTTTACTAAAGTTAAAGAACACTAACTTTATGGATTCACTGCAGCTTTGATAACGAAAAAACTACTGGAAAATAATTAAAGAAGTTGCTAATCAGTTCATTAATCAAGTGTATCTGCTGCACATTCTACTGAAACTAATTGAAAAGGATGCTGTGCTAGCCAGAAACTCCCTCTCAAATAAAGTCAAAAGTGAAGATAAACTAAATCGACTTTTCCTTTGTGGTTGATTTCTATCTAATTAGATCCATCTCTAAAACACTGAATAAAGAAAGTTGTCCCATACATAGATTCAAGACTCCACTAGGATTCTGCATCTTAGTACTACTGAGAATAATTTGAACTATATTTAATCAGTCTATCTTCAGTTTTTGTTTTTTTGTTTTGTTTTTATTTACAACCCACAGACCACTTTTATTTTTAAATGTTAAATATACTTAGAAAGAAGAGGAAAAAAATACCACTTTGCTCACTACATTAAGACAACTGGTTTTGTAAACCAACCAAAAGGCCTACATTGCTTTCTTTACAGCTTACCCTCCCGAAAATCTTTCAATGCACAAAATATTTGTCAGTGGTCACAATGATACCAGTCCACCCTACTCTCTGGGGTTCTTTGGCTATAATAACGGCAGTGAGGCATTGTAGCTTGAAAAAATATATAGTCAGATTTTCAATTATGATTAGAGTAGATCTCCCAGAGAGGTCTCCACAGAGGGTCCAAGGTTCTCTAAAGGGTAAAAGGAGTGACAGAATTCTGACTTAAAACAATATAGTCTTTCCTCTCTTTTTCTTGATACCAACCTTCAAACATTTTGGGGTTTCTAAATGCCAAATTCTAGGAGAAATTGAAGGTTCAAAATTGCAATTCACTTGAGTTTCATTAGGTTTAAGCCAGATACCAGCCTATGTCATTTTCTACAAGCAGAATAATTTAGTTTTAAAGCAATGGTACAGGACAAATGGTACAAACAAAACAGGTACCTGGCAATTACATGAAGACTCCTTTGGTGTGGATGATAACTTCTTTTGACAGGTTATTTTATTTATTCATTCATTTAATTTTGGCACTCAATTTTAAAAGAGCTTAGAAATCATAGGCTTGTGATATATATATATATATATGTATATATATATATATCACATTGGTATGAATCTGAAATCAGTAAACTAAGATGCATAAGAAACGTAATTTTCTTTGTTTTCTTGTGACTGAATTTAATTCTATCTTAAGACCCTATTCTACTGAGGGGTACCATGGAAGATGAGAAAACAAACCACAAAAAAAAAAACACAAATTTATATTTCACATACTGTTCCTGCCATGTTATAAGGATATAACACTCATTCATTAAGACACGGGTTGCATGTTTTCCCCATTATAGATTATTTAGGATTATGCTGGATTTACAAATGAAGGAAATGAGCAAAGAAATGCCACTGGATAAAAGTGTTTTGCTTTCCAGAAGCATTAATTTAAGTGACTGGCCCATGATTATCCATCTGCTCTATCAGTGAAAGATCCCTAAAGACAATGCTTGTCTTCTATCCTTGTCATACTCAGTACGCTGTTCGCATTAACTAGTATTTGCTCAAAATGGCTCAATTTGGGATCCAGAATAGACACATGAACTGCAGTGAGTCACTGATAGGATCTGAGTGAAAATTTTTTATATTGTTTTAAGGCTTAGGTAGATGGACACAGTTTTCTATTGTTTTGTTTACCTTTGTCTGGTTTCCCCTCCCATCCCCACGCACATGCTCACATGCATTTTATTAAACAAAGAAGAGTTCCAGGAAGTTGGAAATGTCAAATGGAAACAGCCACCTTCACAAGAGCTGAGAAAAGATGCTATATCATTTATCCTTGTGCAGACATGCAAACCAGATTTGAATAGTTTTTAACTTATTTGCCAAATTTGCAGTAGAAATTTCTGGTAATTAGCAACTTGCTGAAATTAAGTGAAGTAATAGTTAACTTCACAATGGTTTAAACCATATTTAATTGTTTTGCATGTTTTAAAAATCAGATTATAAATGAAAACGCAAAGAAAAAAATCACCAACTTATTAATAGAGAATTGACCATATTATGCAACCAATTAGAAGATATAAATATACAAATCAATCATGTATAAAATGGAAGGTGCTGCAGAATGTTAACACCGTACAGGCAAGTGCGTGACAAATAATAGTGACCTGTAAAGATAGCCTAGAAGCAAAACGGTAGTTTGGCAGCTTTGTTGGAAAGATTTTCTAGAAACAAAGATGCAGGACCTTCAGTGCCTTTGTTAATCATCAGTTATAGATAGTTAAAGTTTTTTTTTTTTTTTTTTTTGAGACGGAGTTTCGCTCTTGTTACCCAGGCTGGAGTGCAATGGCGCGATCTCGGCTCACCGCAACCTCCGCCTCCCGGGTTCAGGCAATTCTCCTGCCCCAGCCTCCTGAGTCGCTGGGATTACAGGCACGCGCCACCATGCCCAGCTAATGTTTTTGTATTTTTAGTAGAGACGGGGTTTCACCATGTTGACCAGGATGGTCTCGATCTCTTGACCTCGTGATCCACCCGCCTCGGCCTCCCACAGTGCTGGGATTACAGGCTTGAGCCACCGTGCCCGGCCAGATAGTTAAAGTTTTATATTTACAATAATTCTGTGACTTTCAAAGTAATTGTTTATACAACTGCATTGAACTTACTAGTGGCAGTATGTTCATGTGTACATGTATCTGTTTTGAGCTCTCAGGAGAGAGAAAAAAATGTAATGTGAGAAAGTGCAAGCAAGCATAAGAAGGGAGATAAGAAAAATAAACTATCTTATAAGTATAATAAAAATCACCCATTCTTCATGGATAACCTAACTCCCCAATTAAACATGACATTTCCTCCAAAATATTAAGCACCAAACTAGATTTCTGTTTCTGAAGCCAAGGAAATTAAAGAAAAATAGAGTCAAGGAGGTAAGTAGAAGAGAAGAGACTTAATTACATTTAGCAACGGTCCCAATCCACTTAGATACTTACTAGGGTCCTCAGCACTAGTTCACTGCAGCATTTGCATTTAGCACTTTTAAAATTGGGATGAAATGAGTTTTATAGATACTAGAGGAATCATTATGAGATCACAAAGAAGTACTGCGATATCATAACTGAAGCTAGGAGAGGGGAAAGCAAATTCATGTCACAGAGGAAAGCAAACTTGCATCCTCTCAAGTTGTCTTTCCAGTCAACATTGCCTGCATATCACATATGGTGTGCAAAAGGGGACAGATTAACGAAGTACTCAACAGGAAGGTATAATAATCCAAAATACTTCCTTTGTGACTCTATCCATTTCTGCCATATCCCAAGAAAATGCAAAGGTATCTTCATTTCTATGTCATAATATACTTGGGCTGGGAAGGGGGGACAAGCCCAGAGTGATTGTTCTCTTTTCTGCTGTTCATAGTTGTGTATGTGCGCACACATGAGAGGGCAAGCCTGCACACGTTCACACCCCATGATAGCCTGACTTCACTGATTACTTTCTAGAATCATTTTTCCTTTACGCGCCCTGGACAAGAGGGTGGACAGGGAACATGGTAACAAAAACAAAGGTAAACATCCTTCTATAATTGTAAAGAAGTGTTTTTCTGTTTCCTCTTAGGAGAAATAAAAATGCATCATTTAAATTACCAATTAGGATCATATTGGGCTTGATAACTTTTTTGGGGGAAACTTTATAAGGATTGCAAAAATGTCATGCAAAGAAAGATAGTGAAATCTCCTAACACAACATGTTGAGAAGAAAGTTAATGATCAGTTTTTTCTGGTATTTTTTGCACGTAAGCCTACTTGGAAGCACTTTGTAGGCCTACCTGACTTTCCTGAAATGGCAGAGGGCTGATTTGAATGGTATTATCCTATAGGCATGAGATGAAGCAGCTTGATAGGCATCTTAGAGCTGTTTCCATGGCCTTATTAATTTGTAGCAGTCGTGTGGTAACAAGTTAAGCCAACCTCCCCGTCAGAAAGTCTTCAGTAAGTTTTTCTGGCTGCAAGTAGAAGGATGGGTAAGACCCTGGGACAAGACCCTAGTGGAGGCTTTTAGGAGATTGTAAGCATTTCTGGATGCTTAAATTCTAGATGCTACATTCTAGATGCTACAGGCCTAGAATTTCACACTAAAGTATTTGTCTGGAGAACTCAAATATATTATGGGTATCTTATTTGTATTATGTGTAAGGAAATATCAACATGGGTTTGATCATTTAATCCCATATTCTGATTTTGTTCTAAGCAAAGACAGTTATTTGAGTGCCAGCTTAGAAAAGAGAATTCACTATTACCTGGTAAATGTGAAGGAACAGGACTTCTCAGCATATCTTTCTTGATGGTATTTTAGGCTCAAAGCTAATGGATTAACTTGTTGTCCTTTCACACATTCTACCATGTGACACCATGCGACACCAGTGGCCGAAGGAGACAATCTAATTCACTTCCCTGACAGAGTTTTGGGTGATGATTATATTATTCCATATCCTGAAATGCAAGACTCTGCTTGTATTGATCTTAAACATATAAGCTAAACTCGGTAGCAAAAACATAACCAATATATGGTGGAGGAAACGACGAGGGCGGGTTTTCTAAAGCCAAGAAATACTCACTAAATAGGCTAAGACCAAGATGAAAAGTGCAAACAACCAACAAGACAGGAGTAGAAAGAACGCAGGGCTCAATCAATGGTACTATTATCAGAAGGTATATTCCACTATCTATTGTTGTATAACAAGCTACCCAAAACTTAGTGGCTTAAAATCATTGTTCCTAATTCTGCAATCTGGGCTGGCCTCAGCCCGGCAGTTCCTGCTACTAGTCTCATCTGAAGTCACTCACAAAACTGCACCCCATTGGTCCAGGATGGTCTGATTCATATGTCTGCTGGTTAGTTGGGACGGTCAGCCCAGCATTTCAAATCCCATGGGTTCTTCAGAAGGAAGCTCAGGCCTCTTACATGGCGAATGTAGTGTTCCAAGAAGTCAAGCATGGAGGCCACACAGTCTCTTGAGGCCTAGGTCAAAAGTCACACATCATTACATGTACTGCATTCTGTTGGTCAAAGCAGGTCACAAGGCCAGCCCAGGGTAAAGGGATAACGAACTGGATTCCACCTCTACATGGAAGAAGCTGCACGTAATATGTGTCCATATTTAAAATATCACAGAATTTAGAGGAATATGAAAATAATCATGGCAAATGTAGCATATTCTTAGGAGGAGTTATTTTTAATATCCACCATTGTATAATGCTCCTGGTAGGGCCTCTATTTAATGTTTTTTAAAATGTCTCTACACATTTTATTCTTGACTCTCTTAAAAGCTAGTAATGAGAAATGTTTACATTTTAATAATTCAGTAAACATTAAGTACCTGTTGGTGTCAGGCACTGTGATTTCTCTATTGCTCTCAGATCTATCTGAAAGGATGTAAATGGAGCCTTTGATGCTTTATTATAATCATTGTTAAGCATTCTTCATAAGTGTAATATTGACCCTTGATAGAAAAACAGTTACTTCACATTATACTTACTCGTGAAAAACACAAGAAGTGCCCTTCTCTGTCAAACTCCTTCAATTGTCACCCCTCCACTTCACTAGAGGTACAAATAATAGCACATGAAATTGTAGCTGGAAGGGAAGGGGAAGACTGGTAAGGCTTATTTAAATTGCATTTCAAGCATAGAAAACATACCTTCTTCCCAAGAAATGAAAGCTAGTAGAATACTAAATAATATACATACTTAAAGGCATATTATTTTAAGTGATATGTTAAGCATTACATTGAGTCTCTCAAACCAAAGTGATTCAATTGTCATTACCATCAACAAAATGAAACTTAAAAATGGATCGTTAGCAGCCTCTTTTTAGTTTGTTATAGGGTGTTCCTCTAAAGAGAGGGGAGACCAGAAATCAGCTCAATGCACAAGACACGGTGTTGCTGCATCTCCATTTTTCCACACCAATTTCAGTCTTGCTATTATTTCCCTGTGGAGGCTACCTGAAAGCTAAAAGCCTGTACAAAAGTAACTTAGGGCATGTCATTTTTACTTACTAAAAGTAAGTTTTCCTATAACATGTACCACAAGATATTACTTGAACAGTTTTGGTTCAAGGATCACCAGACTGTACAGACTACCTGAGTTTCAGAAGTGACATTCTTTCAGGTGGCACTCTATAAGTTGTCTGAATCACTGAGTTAACAGTCTCTTCATGTTTTCATCTTAGAAAGGCAATTTGAAGTATTTTTAAAGAGGTTTAAGAAGAAGGCTTGAGAAAAAGTTAAAAAAAGTTTTTAACCCGTTGAAAAATCATTTTACAATTTATTCAATTCCCTGAGTGTTTATTGCAGACCTACTGTGTACACAAGCATGGTGTACCTGGCAGCTGTGAGAATAGCAAAGACATGTTAACAGTCTCTGCACCTAAGGCACTTAGAATCTAGTTAGTGAAACAAACATGAGACGCTTAACTCTAAATGATTCATCAGCCTGGTATTCAAGACCTTCTATGATATGTCTCCAATAGATATTTTCGGTCTATGTTTTCCCCTGCTCCTCTCATCTACCCTATACTCCATCCTAAGTGAATGATACTCTTTTCTCTGACTGTATCATACCTTTCCTCCCTCTGTGCCTTTGTTGATCACTTTCACCCTAGCCACTCTTCAAGGCTCATTTCAAACACAAATTTCTTCAGGAAGACTTTTCTCCTGAATACACACACTGCTACCTCAAATCCAAAGCTATTTCTCCTTGTTTATCTCCCATTGCAGCCTTAATTCATCTTTGGGCTAGGGTTGTCTCTGTGTCTTGTCTCCATCATTTGCCAAATTTTAAGACCTGAAAGTAGAGACATCATTTTGTTCTATCTCGTAATGTACCTTGCAGTTAATAAGAGGCAAAATAACTGTTTAGTTGAAAGAAGAATGAATGTGAGGAGATATTGTGACCATCTGCTAAAATGCATAGGTAACAATGTTGGAAAAGAGGAAGCTCTTTTTTCTTTGAAGTTTGATAAAAAAAAATATATATATATATATATATATATATTCTTAAAAAATTAATCACTTGTCCGAGATTTAACAGCTAAACTAACATTTACTGTATGTTCATTATTCTGCATAATGTGTTTCTCATACATGTAAAAGCACATTATTTAGTCAAAACTATCATATTAAATTTCTCCCGTAATTCCTAAGGGCTGTCAGCTGCTCATTAAATCTTGATTTTCTGTCAGGAGGAATTAATAATCTTGCCTTTGAGTGAATTTAGAAGCAATGAGGGATTGAGCAGGAATATTTGAATACCCTCTCGGTGGTAAATTGGATATCCAATTTTCAACTTAGTCTTAATGGGAAAAAAAGAATAAATTGAATTCAGAAGCTGTTCTTTACTTTTTAATATTTCTTCCCCCCTTTTAACTGAGTTAAAATGGAAGGATATGGTTCTTTCTCAGTGGTGGGGAAAATCTACTTTCACTCACTTAGATAGGTTTGTCAAATTCGAATGAGGCTTAATACATGGACAATCTATATGACTAAGCCTATAAGGTGATCCTTTGGAAATCACAGGAAGATTCAGTACAATCACACAAAAATTGATTTGCATGAGGTTTAATTCATGTTTTTCTAAAAGCAAAGATTCCTGCTCCTCCCTCTCCCCGAATGAATTTTATTGTCCAATACTGGTGCTAATAATTATTGATATCACAACTCAGTCTCTAAAAGCAAACTGTCCTATTATTACCACAGAGATGTTAACTCATGTTAAACTAATAATATACAGCTCTTAATTTTCAGTTTTCATCTTTCACCATTTTTCAGCTACTCTTGTCTGTACCATGACCTTAGATTTAAAGTCCCTTAAAATTATAAAAGGTTGAGAGACTGATAAACAGGCATAAAACCTTGTGGATTTTTTTTCTCCTCCACTCTTTTTCTAACTAAGCTACATGGTACCATCATGTACCATCCATCAGTTCATTTAGCTGTCATGAGGCTGCTGAGAGAAGTGGTGCATCCACTAGGCAGCATAAAATTACAATCACATTCTTTACTGGACCTGGCGGCTCACATCTGTAATCCTAGCATTTTGGGAGGCTGAGGCTGGCAGCTCACCTGAGGTCAGGGGTTTGAGACTAGCCTGGCCAACATGGCGAAACCCTGTCTCTACTGAAAATACGAAAATTAGCTGGGCATGGTGGCACATGCACAGCTACTCGGGAGGCTGAGGCAGGAAAATCATTTGAACCCAGGAGGCGGAGGTTGCAGTGAGCCCAGATCGTGCCACTGCACTCCAGCCTGGGTGACAGAGTGAGACTCTGTCTCAAATTAAAAAAAATTACAATCATATTCTCAGTGAGGCAGTAAGGTAGAAGAGTGTATTTCTTTCTGTGTAGTACGACTGTATGACCTCATGTGTGTCACTCACTTGCACTTGTTTTTCAAATACCAGGCAGCAGTTTGTTTGAAGTTAACTATCTGTTTTATCATGCAACTTAAGAAGCTGTAACACATACAACTCCAAATTATTCTTGTTCATAACTCTATTCTATAGTAAGTATTTGAATATGGGTGCAGCTCATGTGATGACCATTACTCTACTTGACATGAAGGAATGAGATCCAACTGCGAGGACCCCAGTAGGAAAGAGCTGAAGGTCCACTGATGCCTCGTCTTTTCTCCCTGCTTCCCCCGCTCTTGCTAAGGATCCTTGGCACCACCACTCAGACTGATGGTAAAACTTGAAAAGAAATTGTCTTCTGTCTAGCTCAGACACACCACTTGTTCAATTCCACCCCTGCTTTGGGTACAGAACATTTTAATCTTGTTAAATTGAATAGAGTTTCTCTTCTAGCTTTTGCTGTGCTAGAGAAACAAAAGTACGAATGTCAACAAGCAGAATAAGAAGAGTATTACAAGAAGTGGTAAGACGTCAAGGCCAAAATCTAGATACTGACCTGTGAGTAATTGAGAGGTGTCAGCAAATCTCTAACATCAAACAGACATAACAAAAATCTAACAAAAGATGCTGAAATCTGACCTGCATACCTCTTACTTTGCCTGTGCTTAAAACCAGCCTTCAGAATGAATGTTGATAATCTTTGCTGTTTTACACGCCTCACTTCAGTTTACAGCATTCCAAACTTTTCTCCCTCATGACGAAAACCTATATATATGTATGTGTGTGTGTGTGTGTGTGTGTATATATATATATATATATATATATATATTATTGCATTTGAGTTTTTGGGGTACATGTGAAGAGCATTTAGGATTGTTGCATACGTACATATATGGCAATGTGGTTTGCTGCCTTCCTCCCCATCACCTATATCTGGCACGAAAACTTTTTTGTATCAATGTGAGGCAAGCTCTGTCAGTCCATCTAATCTTCAAAGAATTTTTGCAGAATAAGTATCATCATCCCCACATTATAGATGAAGAAATCAAGGCCCAAAGAAGTTCAATTAGTTGCCTAAGGCCATACATCTGGCAAATGATAGAGTTAGGAGTTGATCCCAGATCTGCCTGATTCTGAATCCTTTGTTTGGTCTTTGTGTTGTTCCATATCATTTCCCTATTTAAGAAGCTCATTTATATTTGCTCTCCACAAATATCAACCCTGTTGGAACTAAGTTGTTATGTGTTCAGCCTCAATTCTTGTTTACTGGTCTGGGCTAAACAGTGCTGATAGAAATGCTCAGGTGACCACTGGGAAAGGTCCAAGTTCATGCTCTAATATCTGACAACAGAAACTACTGCCTTCTAGAGAAAAGAGCAGACTTGAGGATACCTTGTGCAATCCAAAGTTCATTCATTCATGCATGCATGCATTCATGTTTATTTTGTGTGTGTCTCTCTTTCTGTCTCTTGTGCACATATGAACGCACATACACAATTTTGGTCAATGCACAGTTTTAAGGTCATTTTTAATCTAAGGAATTTGGTCCTCTCTTCTTTCCTGACTACATGGCCATACAGCCTGCCACAAACAGTATGACTCACTCTCCATGACTCTTCTGTGGCTCTTTGTTGTGAGTTTTCATTTTGTACCTCCTTTTTGAATATGCTCTAAAGAGCAAGGATGGCCTTTGGCTAAAAAGAATGGCATGTCAGGAGGGTTCCGTGAGCCATGTTGCTTTTCTTAATCATGAAAAGGCACCAGCACTCAGTGACATGGCCCAGTTTTCTAATCTAATTTAATTGAATGTACAACGATGTGGGCATTGGGAATTAAATACAACCCCACTTCTCTGCAAAGTTCACACTGCCTTTAAAGCAAAGTAATATTTTTCTCATTTCTTATGAACGGTTTTGTGTATGTGTCATATATAATTTTACTTGTATTCTCTGTTCAAAGTGATGCCTTAAAAATTATCTGTAAAAACTCCAACGTAGCTTGGTCTTCTGGATTATGGCTTAATTTAATTTATTGACCAAGATTACTTTAACCATTAAAAGCTTTTTCTTGTCACTATAAGAGCTAGAGCCATGTCCTAACAAAGTACTAACTTATTTGCAGCTGATATGAAGTGAATTACTATATTTGTTACTTTTAAGACAGAGTCTATTTTGAAATTTTGCAATTATTTGTATATTAAGGCCCATATTAAGAGCCTGCCCATTTATAAAATGATGAGTAATTTTCCCAGGTGCTGATACAATATTTTATCATCTAAATTTGAAAAGAAAAACTAATTTTAAAACATTTCTAATTTATTACATTTTGTGACGAACTTACTTTCTATTCAATTTATTTCCTTTCATTCTCCTCACTGTGATCCAATTTGTAGACAGGCAGACTTGCTAAATAGCTTCAGCATTTGGGTTTGATTTACTGTGAAGTAGATCTTAGAAATTAAAATTTCAGGTTGAAATTTGCCTTTCAGATCTTCTTGCCTAAGTATATATGTAAATTTTGGAGCAATCTAACATGTGCATAAACACATTCAAAATATTCTATAGCTTTAAAGAATTTTATTTTGAAATAATTTTAGACCTACAGAAAAGGCACAAAATTAGTCCAGATTTTGATACCCCTTTCACCCAGATTCCCCAACTATTAACGTTTCACTGTGTTTCCTTTATTATTTGTTTTTCTATACACTCATCCACAAATTATTTTTTTCTAAATGTTTGAGAATAAATTGCAACATGATGCCCCTTCACCCCTAAATACCAAAGTGTGTATTTCTCCAAAATAATAACATTATTTTATATAATAGTACATTTATCAACATTGGTAAATCAACATTGATAAATTACCAGATAATCTATAGACTTTTAAAAAATTTTATCAGTTCTTTTACTAATACCCTCTATAGCAAAAGAAAAAAATCCCAGACCACATGTTGCATTTAGTTATCATGGCTCTTCATCCTCCTTTAATCTGGAATAGTTCCTCTGCCAAAAATGCATGCCCTGGATCTAATCATGAGGAAACATCAAAGAAATCAAATCCACATTCTACAAGATAATTTACCTGTACTCTTTAAAAATATTATGGTTTAGTTTTTAAAGCTATAGTACATCTCCAAGTAAGCACATATGAATATCTACGTTTTTAATTTTCTCTAAGAAAGAGCAACAATTTAAAATAATGCCTAAGTATGTTTTAAAATAAAGGCTTCTTTTTGAAAGTTAAAGAGAAATGCTCTTAGCCTAAGGTTTCAATTACACATAGAATGGCTATTTCATAAAACGGTGTTATATAAAATCTGGGCTGGGCGCGGTGGCTCACGCCTGTAATCCCAACACTTTAGGAGACCAAGGCGGGTGGATCATCTGAGGTCAGGAGTTTGAGATCAGCCTGGACAGCATGAAGAAACCTTGTCACTACCAAAAATTATGAAGTTAGCTGGGTGTGGTGGCAGGCGCCTATAATCTCAGCTACTCAGGAGGCTGAGGCAGGAGAATTGCTTGAACCCAGGAGGTGGAGGTTACAATGGGTTGAGATCACGCCACTGCACTCCAGCCAGGGTGACAAGAGTGAAACTCTGTTTCAAATAATAAATAAAAATAAAATATGTGTTATCTAAGTTAGGGACAATCTGGGCTTTCATATATAGACTTCAGACAATGGTTGTTCATTCTGAGTTGAGCACTATTTCTCTCATGGGCCCTTAAGCTAAGAACATTTAGCTGCATGTCGGGTGTGTCTCTTACATTCTGCCTCATGACCATCTGCCACTGCCATGCATATGACAAAGACACTTAACTCTGAGCCCCAAGTCTAGAAGAGAGATCTAAACGTCACGTGAAGTTCTTAAGAACCTTTCTTCTGAGGAGTCAACAAGGGATAATTTGGTAGATTTCTCTGCCCCAGAGACCTCCCAAATATCCTCTACCAAGTC